CGGGAGAGAGCGGGCCGGCCCAGGCGCCGGGACAGCGCGGAAGCGGCGGGACCCATGCCGGCGGCCAACATGATGGAGAGCCTGCAGCCGCCCGCCCTGCAGGTGCCCGAGCCACGGGGCGCGCCCGAGGGCAGCCCGATCTGGTCCAGCTCGTCGACCCCCACGCTCCGCCGCCGGCGCTTCAAGATGCGCCGCATGAAGAACGTGCAGGAGTCGAGCCTGGAGGCCGGGCTGAGCCGGGACCTGCCCGGCGTCTTGGCCCCCGGCAAGGAGTTCCTGCAGCTACCGTCCATCGAGATCACACCCTCCAGCGACGAGGACACCCCGTGGTCCAACTGCTCCACGCCCAGCGCTTCCCCACGCCGAAAACGCTTCCTCCTCCGCAAGTGGCTGCGGGTGAGGGAGCGGAAGGAGTGCAGCGAAAGCAGGTACGTGCTGTTCCGCCCCCTGCCTTCTTCCTCTTTCCTCCCCACTCCTCCCCAGAGCTGTCGGGGACCCCCAGGGTACCCCGGGGAACTTCGCTGAGGATTGCAGGAGCCCTTCGCTGTAGTGGACGGCTTCCCACGTGTCACCCGCCTCCCCAGTCCAGGACAGGGGACCCGGTGACTTTACATTATGTAACACGTGTGCATGGAGTTTCACGCCGCATTCCACCCCATTGGTTCCTCACAGCAACACGAATAGTAAAAATCGTTAGCAGCTAATGGTTATCGAGCCCTTATCGTGTGTAGGTCACTACAGTGAGCACCGTCTATCTCCAAATTTAATCCTCACAAAACCTCTTTGAGATAGGGGTTAGCCCCATTATACCGGCGGAGGCAGTAGAAGGCGAGAGAGGTTAACTCATTCTTCCACTTATGTTTCTAAACTCCATTTCAATTATTACTTTATTTTTGGCCACCCCAGATTCCCTTTCCTGGCCCCATGTGTAGAGGAGGTGGTGGAGTATTCACATTGAGAGAGTCACATTTCCTACCACAGTCTTTAGACATCTGGGCCTGGTCCACATGGTGATGGTGTGTTCCAGCTACTTTGTGCCTTGGTAAATGTGGCATCTGAGTAGTTGTCAAGTTGGCTTTCCCTAAGCAGAGAACTGGTATAGAATATGGGAGGGCAGCTCCACCCAGTCTTGGCCAGGGGTTGTATTTGAGCCAAACCCATTGCCTGCTGGAGGGGACAGTCCTCACTGGCTCTTTGATACTATAGACCCTGCCCATTTACTTTCAGACTCTAGGGCCCTGTCTCTTAACAATGGTCTGTGCCTTTGTGGGGCACAGCTGAGCAATTGGCCACCTTCCCTGGGACTCTTCCTCCCAGTCTGTCCATTTCTATTCATTTGAATTCAACAAGTGTTTACTGAATGTTCTTGTGAGTTCAGTCTGGTACCAGCTAATGGTGCCGTGGTTAAGGGGGGGGGTGCTGGGTAGAGTGTGGGGATATGGAAGTTGAGAAGGAATATGGGAGGAGACTTGGATAAGAAATGGCATAAAGCCTGTGAGTTTCACTGGGATGGAGGGGATGGAATCTTTGAAAGACATGTACTATGTGTGCCATGTGGACTGTACAGGCAAGGAGAGGAGAAAGACTTCTGGACTGAAGAGGCTCAAACCATGACAAGTACAGGCAGATAATAGAAAACAGCGGAACAAGTATGAGGTCAAGGGCATGAGGTCAGGAAAGGGGAACGGTACGGACAAAGGCGTAAGAGCAGGGCGAGATGTGTCTTGGAGGGATCGCTGAAAAATTGGGCTGGGTTATACGGATGAGGAACATTCTAAGCCTGCCAGGGGTTCTTTTTTGGTTCTCATGACTGGATGTGGTTATCCTTGCAGGTACTGTTGTAGGGCTTAGTTCTGGGGTTTGGGGGGACCGGAGGATAACAATTCTTTCTGTACTAGTACTTCATCCTGCTGCCACTTCCAGAGAGCAGAGGGAAATGGGACAAACTTGGTGGGAGCTAATCTTGAAACTAAAATAGTGCATCACAGTTTGTCAGCTTTCCCCTCAAATGTGAGAGACCCTAAAAGAAGCCCTATTTTGACCTTGAGATTCTGCCATATATACTAAGGACAGAATATGGGGGAAGATTCTTACATTGATAGCCAGCGTGTGGATGGGGTGGATTTGGTTCAGTTTAGGGAAGTCGTTCTTCATTTGGAGAGTTGTCTACAGATGCAATGGAATCTTCATTTTTGTTAGAGGAGGGAACATACTCTTAAACCAGGAAGGATATTTCACCGTCTAGGAATAGTTTAAAAACTGGCAGTTGTTTTCAGTGGTCGTTTGTTGGATTAGAAGAGTATGTGTATATATGTAGAAAAAGGCAACCTCTGGGTTCAACCCCAAATTTGTCTGATTCAGATCTTCACTCTTAACCGCTGTGAAACTGCTTCCTGTTGGAATCTATCTAGATCGTGGCTAAAACAGAAGCCCATCATTTTTAGGTCTTGGAAACAGAAGACTTCTTGGAAAGAAAAGAATCAGTCAAGTGACCAGATGTTTGCAGATGGCCGGCATGATTCCCTGAGGTGGAATTGGCATTTAGAGTCAATAGGGCACAAAGAATATTGGACATCAAGTCGGGAGACATAGGTTTCAATTTCAGTTCTGTCGTTTCTTAGCTGTGGAACCTTGGACACCTCCCTTCACCTCTGTGTTTCATCTCCTCCATCTGTGGAGGGGGAGCTCTGCGGGTTAACGGGAGGTCTCTAGATGATAATACACGTGAAAATGTTTTGTAAACTTCCCCCTGTTGTGCAAGGGGGAAGATGTGTGTCCTTATTCTGTGAGTGTCTCACAGGCAGTGGATGTGTGCTTGAGAGTATAGGTTCTGTACTCATGTGTCCTGTTTCCTGGAGCAGCACCTGGGACTCTTCACACAAGACCCGATTTGGAGATGATGATGATTGGAAAACGACCCAGCTCCAGCTTGGCTTAGGAGGGTTAGCACACCAGGCCCAGCACAGCATCTGTCCCATGCATGTTTCCCACCCCAGGTCTCCCTCTCCGCAGCAGAGAAAAGCCCCTTTCAGGCCTGCGATGCAATTCTGTCTGATACTGTAGAGGGCAGAGACCGAGAGGACCACAACATGTGGATTTTAACTGCACAAAGTTGAAAATATTAAGAGAATCAGGAGCTCCTTTTTTTCTCCTTAACCCTGGGAAGAAAGAAGCAGTGAAAATGGTGAGGTTAGCAAGGAACTTGGGGAACAGGACTCCGAGTCCAACCTTGTGTGGTTCATCTTTGTGTCTTCACGGTCTAGCACTGTACTTGGCCTTTTGTAGTGATCGGTAGATGTTTATTGATGGATAAATTAATAATGAATGAATGAATGATTCCTTTATCTCTACTCTTTGTAATGAAATTATCCTTATTCATGAATCAGGGAAAATTTCCTGGAGGAGGTGAGTCCAGAGCTGAGGTTTTGATGTGTGACAGCTTTATTGAGATAGAAGATACATGCCATACAATTCAGTCAGTTTGAAAGGACACAATTCAGTAGTTTGGAGTATATTCAGAAATATATACAATCATCACCACAGTCAATTTTAGAACATTTTCATGACCTCAAAAAGAAAACCCTACCTTTTAGGTATCACCCTCAATCCCCACTCCTCCATCCCCCCAGCCCTCGGCATCCGTGAATCTACTTTCTGTGGTGAACTGAGTCTTGAATGGGGACCAGGTGCCTTTTGGTGAAAGCAGTTTGGGTGTGTTGACTTGAAGACAGGGGGTGGATGACCAAGTGTGGTCTTGGTAAGAGATGTGGGAAAATGAGGGCAAAGTGATGGGCTGACAAACTATGATTATGCTGAAGAGTTTGAATTTCAGTTCATCAGTCGGTCAACAAAGATGTATTGAGATCCTACGGACAGTGTGCTTTGTATACAAAGAGGATTCAACTCAATGGGGAGCCATTGTAGGTTCTGGAACCCGGGAGAGACGTGCTCAGAGTGGTATTTGAGGCAACTAATTCTTGCTGTTCTGTGTGAGCTGAGTGTGAGGTAGAGGCCTGAGCCTTGCGCTGTTCTTCCAGCAGTCACTGTTCCAGCTGGGAATTGTCATCTTAGCCACTGTTTAACATAAGGTGGCACAGTTTCTTTGCTGGCCATGCTGTCCCCTGAGCCCCGTAAATAATGTAGTTGAGGGGGCAAGATCTTAGAATTAGTACCTGCAAGTCTCCCTAAATCCCTTGGTTTTTAACTGGTGGTGGTGATTGTTCAAAACCCAAATTGAGGACATAACGGCATCCTGACCTTGTTCTCTGGAGGGGGAAGGAGAGCGGACTAGGGGCACGTGAGGAGGTGTGGGTGGCTGACTGTGGGCTGTCTTTCTGGGGGACACAGAGGCACTTCTCTGCCCTGTCTCCCCTGGACACCCTCCTTATTATCACCTTTTACCCCACTTTCTCTTGGCTCTTCTGTCCCCTCTTCTGTGTAACATACCTACCCTGTCGTGACTGCCCACAATCTAGCAGGCTGGCAGCTGGAGAGAGGACTTCTACCTGGAGCCTCAGGACTTCTGCTTGGCTACACATCTGACCTCAGCTGGTGCCTCCCACTTATTCTATCTGTCACATCTCTGGTGGGCCTGGTTATCTAGCTGGTGCCAGCCTAGCTGGCATGTGGATTGGCAGGTAATGATTACCCATCAGTGGTGTATCTATCTTGATTCTTTATCCCCCTCGTCTGACCATTGGAGGGAGTCTTGTTTCTGGTTTCAGCTCAGTTTGCAGGGAGCAGGCTGATGTGGGCATCCAGATGTTACACCCATCCCCTCTGTGCGGACCAGACCCTGCCATGCAGAAGCACACAGAGTGTGGGAGAGAGAAAACTCATGCTTTTCTTAAACAAAGCATCAAACAGGAGACCTGGGATTTGTCAGCAGATTAAATAAGTAATTGGTGTTGGAAAAGGTTAAACTAGGAAGAACCTCTACCAGACCCATAATTCCTTGAGGGCGGGGGCTGCGTCTTACTTTATGCCAAGTTTTTCTGCTAAGCGCCTTAAATATGCGATCACATTTAATTCTCACAACAAATCCCCCAGGTGAGTTTTAGGGCTGAGGAAACTGAAGTTCACAGATTACCTTGCTTCTGGTCAAAGAGAAGCAACGGTGAGGTCTGAGGCACGTTCTTCTGATTCCAGAGCCTGAGCTCTTTACAGCTGCACTGTACCATCTCCCCAGGGCCTGGAAGTCATTGGCCCTTGCATGTTTGAGAACATGTGGACGTACACCTGGATGGGGAGGTGGGAAGGAGGTCTGGAGGATGGGAAGGAGGCTGAGAAGAAATGTATGGGGTTGGGGACCAGCAGTAGGAGGGTGGTGCTGCCTGGCGGAAGCGAACTGGTCCATGAGAAGTAGCCAACCTTTGGCTGTAGATGTGGTTTCCAGATTCAAACAATTTGTGCAAACTGACAAGGTAGA